AGTGTGTGGACACAATTGGCTAGTAATGCCGCAGGAGATTCTCATTCACCTGTCTTATTGTTGTGAGCTTGTGGGAATTATTGTAGGATAAGCTATCATCACAGTAAATACAAAGAGACGTTATCAGGGAATCTCTTGAAGGAGATCAAATGGAAACAGGGAGAAAGGGTACGTAGATGCCAAAGTGTATAAAAACATACCAACAGGTTCCTGACAAAACTAAAATACATGGAGATGGTCTTGAATGAAGAGTATAAGAGAAATGGATGGACCCATACCTGACTGTGGGAACACAAATGGCACCACTGCTATAAGCAGGAGTGTGGAGCAGAGGACCTTCACCACCATCTGCATCCTGACAGCCTCACAGCACCAACACCTGCAACTGAGAGCTGAAGACTTTACGCTCGGGGAAGAATAAGTATCAACAAAAAGGCTTCAGTAAAAATATATCTTCTGTAAGTCCGCAAAGTGGATCCAATCGTTGCAAAGGGAGATATGGCAGCTTGCTGGGACACAGAGAGAAAGACTCAGAGACCTGTGTAACATGAGCAACACCCAAACTTGGTCACCTGGCAACCAACTGGCCCACCTCAACCCTCCTGAAACACACACCGGGTTGGATGGAGTGACATGGTTTGCCTCGGCTGGCAGAGCACGCACACACACACACACACACACACACACACACACACACACACACACACACACACACACACACACACACACACCACATAGACCTGCTTTCCCACTTCTGTCCTTACAAACGGCTCAAATAATGGGGAGAAAAATGGGAATATTAAATAATCAGTGTTTATTGCCATTTTTGTATATATAAATATGTTTACATTACACAAATCAACGTATGTTGTAGGATAGTGGGTCCCAACGGGACGGGGACCAATCAAGTGACCCCAAAATAAACCTGAAAGGCACATCAGCTAATTTAGGGGACAAGAAAGAAAGTGTAATTTATCCTCTGGACAACGTGAATGTTTGAAGCAAATTTCATGATAATCCCTCCAATCATTAATGAGATATTTCTGCGTTTGTCAGAGCACCATTACCACAACTGTTAAAGGCATTCCTGTTAGACAACAATTACATGTTCCTGACACTTTTAATTGTGAATTACTTGTAACTAAATGTACTGTAGAGGCATTTTCAAATGTTTAAGACAAAACAAGAAGGGAGATGCCTTTTGTGTTCACTCAAAAGCCATAAGCATGACAAGGGTTGTCAAGCAGCTTTATTTTTAAGTGATTGCAAGCCAATTAAAGGTGGCAATGAATGTTTTAAGCTAGAACCATCAGGAATATATTCAACTTTTTATTTCCTGTCAAGAATCAAACAAGTACATGTTTTTAACAGGTATTAACTGGAACCTTCTGGGTTAGGCAGTTTATCATGTTCCTCATCAGTGATGGGGCGGGTCAATAATAGTGTGTTGATTGAGTGGTTCCAATTAGGATAGCTGTATTTATAGTGTGGTGTGAATGCTTTTTAAAACATGTTGGCATGTGACATTTGCTGTAGAGAGTCTGTGCGTCAGTAGTCTATCACCAAATGTGTGACTGATTTTGATTTGTGAAGTGTTACAGAGTCACTTTTCAAGCAATCATTCATTAACTTTTATGACACAAAGAAGGTTATGAACAAAGGCTCTTAATAATTACTGAAATACCTTTCAATAGCTGTTTATGAAATAGATTAGAGCAAATGTAAAAAATAATATCACAATAAATCGGACCACAAATACATGTCATGTTTGATACTAATTTTACAGTAAACTATTAGGTCATAATCAAACATAGCATATGGGCACGAGACAGATCGTCTGGATTTATCCCTTTCTGGATTGGTGATGTGAAAAAAAGAGAAAGAAAATAATCTTCACACCCCTGAATACGTACACATGCACCAGCAAAAAACGTGCAAGCGCTCTGACATGCAACCTGTTGCTTTGTGATAAAGTCAACTGAGTCATCGCGCCGGGCTGCAAGTCCTCAAAATCAGATGCATTGAGCACAGAATCACGGCAGTCAATTCCATCGTCATCATCCTCACCGCCTCCAAACACATGGCTCATAGTATCCTCTCACATGTCATATGCTCTCACACATTATCTGGGTACATCTGTGCATCTCTACGGGCCGGCTGTTTTGTGTTTGTGTGCAAAAAAAAACACGAAGGGATATTCCGCATCCATGTCGAACACGATCTTCTTCAACAGTGATGCTCCCACTGCTGGCAATAAATCGACACACCAGCGAAAAACTCTTGAATAATGCTGTAATTTACAACCAAATACACCGAGAGACATATAGAAGAAATCCACAGCTGATATAACTGAATGACCGGCAAAAATGTAAGGACATGAAATAAGAGTCATAGCCTATGTAGTCTTTAGGAAGAGGAAAGCTCAGACATGAAGAAATAATATAGAAATGTTCCCTGGTTCTTTTTTTGTGTGATGTGTATATATATATATATATATATATTTTTTTAAATGTATTATATAATGTTTTGTATAACCAAATGGATATAGTAGGTCTTGCTCCTCATAATTTTTTTTGGTAGGTGACAACTATTGCACTAAATGACGAGGAGGGATTTGGCAGGAAGTGTTTCCTAATATGGCTCGAGAAGGACGAGATTCCCCCAGTAAACGCATTGATATGCGCGACCACGCAGACAACCGTAAAGCCCATCTTGCAGCACCCACGCGCACTACCAAGCTGGGGAAGCCTTGTGTTCCCTGCTGTTAAATAACTGTGGGTAGACAGGGGGGTCTTTCTATGTCAAGGTGTGCGAAAGAAAAGAGAAGTACAATAAAAGCCATTCCTGTTTTTGTATTTTTGTCGGAAACTCTTTTCCATCCTCATCTTTACATATGCATTCAGGCACAGAGAATATTTCAAAAATGATTCAACAGCTATTATTATTATTATTATTATTATTATTATTATTATATATACTTTTTCTTTGTATTATTCATACACCATTTTCATAAATAATAAATAGTGTCAGAGAGATGATTGTTAAATTCTATGATCAATGTGGAAGCTTCTGTTTTTACTAATGTTGTATTCAAATGAATGAATGATACCATAAACTGTTGTTTCTGCCCATCCCTGAAAATAAACTCCAAATGCAGCAATACTATCAACATCACTGCTTTAAATGATATCCATATTAGTAGGTCAAAATCAGTTTAGCAAGGTTAGATGTGGGAAAGGTGCATGTTTGTGCTTATTCATTCATAGAGGTGGATAGTGTCGTCTAAAGAGTCCATTTCACACAGTTTATTGATGCTCTGCAAGACATCTCCCCATGACTCATCCTGAAGGTTTCAGCACCGTGGTCAGCGCCAAGCCCTGAGCTCTGTTCCCAATGCCCATGCACCGCTCAGCCCTGCCCAACATAAAACAATACCGTCTCAATCAACCCTTCCCCAGGGTCTTATTGAGAAAATCCGTGTGTGTACTGGAGGGGGAAGGAAGGGGGGGTGTATTGGTCATTATTTACAAGAATTGAGAGTGGACCGCAGTGGGAGGAGCAACCGGGATGCCGCATTTTTCTGAATGAAATTACTCCCTATACAGCCCCCTCCCCAATCTCCCCGCATCCCCAATTCCGGCACCTCATTGGTCGAGCCTCCCAGTCACTGACGTCAGACATGCTCTCTTGTGGTAGACTCCGCGTGCAAGAGCATCCATTCTGCCTCCCGTAAGCGCCCAGGAGAGATTGAAGAAAAGGAGATGCAAGAGACTGAGTTTTGCAGAACTTTGATGAAGACAGGAGCCCGGAGCAGGACGTTTCTCCTTTTTTAGACTGGAACCGAGCATTTCCGTGGACAGCATCCCCACATCTCCATCATCTGCCTTGGGTCTCATAAGAGGAGAGCACGTTTTTTTTAAAACTCTTACAAAAAATAATCAAGGAATCGCGTTAACAAGGTGAGATTAATTTCTTAAATTCATGTATACCTTTATGTGTTATGCATGATCGTGTGTCGGGGACATCCTCTGCTGTGCAATGGACCTGCAAGTGTATTATACAACAGGGTCCTCCACACCAGTACGTGGGATATACCTCCTTACTGAGATGCGAGAGGGAGGATGAGACATTCCTGATTCATTTAAAAAAAACTCCTGCATAAGCAAAGAATAATCTTTCAATTGTATAAATAGCTTGTGGTATTTTCTTTCAGTACACGTTGATATACGCTAAAGAACAAGCTGATAAGAGAGAGGCATCGTAACCTTGTAAATCTTAAAATAGCCTAATGAAGAGCACAGGCTTTCTCATTCATGAAGACTGCATGTAATCTGCCAGAGGTTTACACAGTTAAACATCATATTTGGATATTACCATGAAAGGAAAACCCTCACAATCTATCTCACCAACGTCATCTGGAAGACAGTTTACTGATTCAATTTTAACCAGATACAAATAAATATATATTTAAGATGGCTGGAAGCACCTGAAACGTGCGCAGCATAAAAACCAAGGGTCGAAGCCGGTAACAGCTCCGATTCAGAAAATACATGAATGACAGTTTAATCAATACAGCCTAATGGTGCATTCATGTTTTGATAACTCTATTCATCAAGTTGGATTAAGCCTACATATTTGACTTCACGATTGACTATGATTTGCGTGGCTTCCCGCACGACTATAGTGACGTCACTTACATTTCAGTAGCAGAATACATTTTAATTTTAAATGTCTTGTTCAAGTTCTTTCAATGTTCATTTTTCAATTGCACACTAAAGACAAGGTTTTTTGTTTTTGTCATTTTTAATAAATAATAATAATACATCTGTACTGCCCCTTTATAATAAAATACCCAATACGAAACAACATTACAAGTAATGGGAGCATGAAAACCTTAAATACATCTTATTGCACTATATCTATTTGGCAAATTAACAGCTCAAGATAACAACAACATAACATCTTAAATTCTCTATCACTACATTAAGTCCTTTTCTGCTGTAGATGCCACATCCTGCCTCTGAAGGCAGAAAACCACAGCTTCTGGTTGAGGAAAGCCATTTTACTGGACAGATGAATATGCTAATGATGACCCATTAGATCTAATGAAAACATTGTTCTGCTTTTTTTCTCTCAGGTTGTCCGTGTGACTGCTGAGAAGCCATGATCCTGAACGCGTCTGACCTGGGCTGGGATGAGTCCTCAGGTTCAGACCCCTTCTTCCCACTGGACAAAATTGAAAGCTCACCTGAATATGAAGTCCAGCCCCTCACCGTGTGGGGCGTGGCCCTGTGTATTTCAGGAACTCTCATTGCCACAGAAAATGCCATAGTTGTCACCACCATCCTGGCCACACCTTCTCTTCGCGCCCCCGTTTTCCTGCTGCTCGCTAGCCTCGGATTGGCTGATCTCCTGGCGGGCGTTGCTCTGATCTTGCACTTCCTCTTCCTGTTCTGCGTGGAGCCCAGTGATTGGTCAGAATTGATAACCTCAGGACTACTGGTGACATCCCTGACTGCCTCTCTCTGTAGCCTGATGGGTGTCGCTTTGGACCGATACCTGTCTCTAAGCAACGCCCTCACCTATGGGTCGAGCCAATCACGTAACAGAGCCGCCATCCTGCTGCTGCTGGTCTGGGTGGGGGCGTGCATCATCGGGGCGGGGCCTGCGATGGGATGGCACTGTCTGGGTATGCCAAACTCCTGTTCTGTAGCACGACCTCTGACCCGGACTTACCTGTCGCTGCTGTGTGGTGGCTTCCTGGTGATTGTTATGATAACCCTACAATTGTATGCTGGGATCTGCCGTGTGGCGAGGCGGCACGCCCACGCCATAGCCACCCAGAGGCACTTCCTCCCTGCCAACCACTCGTATGCAAGCAAACACAGCAGTGGGAGGGGCTTCTCTCGACTGATCCTGGTGCTCAGTGTGTTTGTGGGCTGCTGGATGCCCTTCTCCCTCTGGGGGCTTCTGGGGGACGCGTCTAGCCCTCCTCTGTACACCTATGCCACTTTGGTGCCAGCGGCGGGCAGCTCGCTGCTGAACCCGATCCTCTACAGTCTGAGAAACAAAGACATTCGCAAGGTGCTGTTCCAGGCCTGCTGCCCGCACAGATACACACAAAACACACAAACAAACTACCCTGCCGATGTGTAGACTGCCAAACCTCAACATGGGACTCAAAGCACCACACACTCTATGCCAGACATATCACTGTTTGTGTGCCAAGATAGCTGCATTGACCATCATCCAGAACATGAAGTCTCGCTCACACTGACATATATATATACACACACACACACACACACACACACACACACACACACACACACACACACACACACACACACACACACACACACACACACACACACACACACAGCACTTCTCAGAGAGATAAAGTTCCTCCTCTGCAAATCAGAATGTTCTGGCCTGTCCTGGCTGGCAGACATTTTTGGACTACAGACTAAACGTACTGTCTTGTTTGTACTTTGTGCCTCATCCTCAGTCAATTGTAGCTCCACTGAAACAATCACAGGGATGCTTAATATGGTATACCCCCACTCATAGAAAGTGGATTTAATCACCATTGGCACTTTATGGCGAGAGGAAGGGATTGGTTTTAAATGTAAGCCTGTTACAGTGTAATGACATGTGAGCAAAAGCCAAATTGTATTTACTTGAATGTCTAGAAAACAAAATGTTCTAGATCTTTGAGATTCTATTTTGCACATGCTGTCAAAGGCACTTTGAAAAGGTACTGACCATATGTTCGTGTTGCACAGCCTTTTTGAAATGAATGAATATTTTATACCGATGAATAATAAATATGCTTTTTTTTCTACTTGGCGATGTCAGCACTCTTTTCTTTTACCGCTGCCGAGGCTTTTAGAGTTTGTCTCTCTCTATCTCTCACCCTTTAACTCAATAAGGCTCAGACTGCTGCTCCCTATTCCTGTATCTTAAATTATTTGGTGGCTTAAGCAATCTTCAACGTCATTACCATCACTCTGCATCCACTGCCTTCTTTAAAAGAAAAACCTACAAAGCAGCCTTGGTGTGAGGATGAAGTGATTACGCAAGAGGTTTTCTCTCCTCCTACTCGTTTTCTAAAGTTGAATCCAATTGATTCATTTTCTCACTCCCTACAGTCAGCACTGGGCACAAAAGGTGTCCACTGCTGATATGAAGAAGATGAGTCATGGATAAAGCACGAGGAGTTTTATCCCAAGGCTCGACATTCTTGGTAACTTATTATTCACATCAAAGCACACAGTAGTCATTCTCGCAGGAAAGAAGACTAAACAATTACTGCAATTCACTCCATCTTTATTGAAATAACTAATAATCATTTTGAAATTCAAGGCAGGAGAAGCTTTGGCAAAGCATGCTGTGTGATTGTGCTTCATCACAGGCACATTTAAAATAAAAGGCACTTGAGACACATGTTGTCCATACTAAACATCAGGCTGGTCTACATTTGACTCATTAACAGCAGCTGACAATACAAATGGATGAAGCTGATCAATGTGGATAAACAAATAAAGCTGCACTGACACCGAGATGCAGTATAAAAAAAAAGGCACTTATCAGACAAAAACAGTGATTAAAACATCAGAGCCTAGTTGATCCCCAGAAAAGAATATAAGCAAGAAGAAAAACAAAGCAGATACAGAATCAATCATGTGTGTGTAAAAGGTATGTTCATCTCATCACACGCCCCAGGTGTCGGCCCTGAGCCGCTCCGCTCCGCCCCCCCCCCATCACACTAAATCATTAATCTATTAATCTGTTGATAAACTTTAACTATGTCTCGTCCGCACGTGAATTGTTGTCTGAATAAAAAAAGTGAGGAAAGGAAAAGTGATACAAAAATGGGGATATAAAAAAGATTGCATTAATTATCTTTAGCTCATATGATTCAATATGTAATATAAACTTTACATCTATATTATATGATAGACGATTGCGCAAATATGTTTAGTCTTTTAACAGAGTACATAGAAATACTGTGTGTGGAAGAGGCTGCGTGAGCTGTGTGTACTACCTCTGTTATCCTTTGCTGTAATATACTAAAGCGGATCAAATCTGACATTGTGCCCGAAGCAAAGGGCTCATAATAAGAGGAGACAGAGGTGATGTGTTTACGCACGGACTCAGCAGAGAGTCGTGAGCCTCGTCACAACTCTCACATTAACAACAGCGCCGTGTGACAGAAAGCAGTGACGAAAGACAAAACCAGGCACACACACATTTCTCAATCTTTGGACTTTTGCACCTCTGACAGGAATCATTGGGGATAAATAGAAATACATGATTAAGGAATGTGATTTGTAATAGGCCACTTGTACATACTGAACATCTGGCAGACACAGAACATGGACCTCTGCTTCACTGAATGTAATGACACCGTAAATACAAGGAGGTTGTTTCAAGGCTGAGGAGAGTGAAGTGGCTATTGAAGGAGAAAAGAGAGGATGATCAGTCTGACCAATTGTCATCGTCAAACTCTGAGGAGTCATCCTCGCTGTCGCTGCACTCGACAGCGATACGACGGGACAGGATGGCGGCCACATCGTTGTTAGAGTGATCCCTCTTCTCCTGCTCACGCTGCGCCTCCGTCTTACGCAGGTTGAAACCTAAAGAGGGAGCAAGTGAGGACAGAGTGTGTGAGAGCCTGACAACAGCAGAAGGGCCATCTCTCTTCATGTTCCTATTTTTATCTTAATGCATGCTACTATGAGGACTCATTTGCTTGCTGACATATTAAACAAAAGGTGTCTTTCATACTCAAGAGGTGGCAGTTGTAAGTAGTTCCCTTATATTTAGATCAAAGTAGAACCAACAAAAGAGAGACAATTATCATTTTAAAATGTATTTAAGGCAGGGGTGTCAAACTCTATTTCATCACGGGCCACATTAGCATTATGGGCCGGTTTCAACTTTAAGACTATATAAATATACATATATAAATATATAATATATATTAAATAATGTATTATATGATTGGCTCTGCATTGGATTATTATCAGTCCTGGTAATAACTTCATAAATAACTACGTCTGAAAGCAGAAGTCTAGGGCACATCATTGAAAGCAAACATTCAACAATTACATCAAAACTTTTAAAAGAACATCCATAACATGAATCTGTTTACAACTTATATATATCAATATTCCAATTACTTGTATATAGACTATTCTGCACTATTTCTATTATACTTTATTTTATTTACTTGCACAATTGTATCTGTGTTATTGTGTTGCGCTGCTGGAAGAGCCTGTGACCTAAGCATTTCTTTGTCATAACTACACTGTAGCTATGTACATATGACAATACAATTTTATTGTATATTATATTCTTTGCAAGCCCTTGCGGGCCACATCAAATGAAGTCGCGGGCCGGATTTGGCCCCCGGGCCTTGAGTTTGACACCCCTGATTTAAGGTTTGTTGAGTTTTATTTCACTAGAAGCGCTTTAGAGTTTTTACAATTGGGTCTCTGTTAGTACATCATGCACGTCCAAACATGCAGCAATGTTGGTAAGAGTTTCTCGATATTCCACTTATTCAGAGCTGGCTGCAGTAATGGGCCAAAAACAGAGCATGTGCTGCAAAGTTAACACTAGAACCGCCAAGGGTTGCTGCATACCTAAAACCGCCAAGGGGTAAAATATACCCGCTATTAGAATGCATTGATTTTCAAGGTACAATGTTCTTTTATTTATCATACTAGAACACAGGGTTAACAGTGAGTTTTGATCGCAGAGGGAGGAAACTTATACCAATAGAATCTGTGGACTCTCAGCTTTCATATGATATNGAGGGGACGTGGGGAATGGAGGAGGTGGGAGACGAAGCCCCGAGGGGTGGAGGGGACCAAAGCTCGGCGGTGGCAAGAGGAGGAGGCGAGAGGAGGAGACCGGATAGGGAGCGGGTGGACGAGGGGCGAGGAGGTGGGAAAACAGGTAACCACGAGGGAGGGGAAAAAAAAAGAGGGAAAAAGGAGGTGGTGGATAACGGACATCCAACAACCTCCAGGAGGTGGAAGGAGGAGGAGGAGGTGGAGGGGGACCCGGAGAGGAGTAGGAAACTTGCGAGACGTCGAAGGGTAGGAAGGAGAGGGACCACCACCCCCAGTCAGGTCGAGCCGAGGGTTTCGACTCGGCCTCCTACTAGAGCGTTGCGGACCGACGTCCCGGTAGGCCCGTCCCATTCTGACCAAGGAAACCCTTCACCTCATCAGTCTATATGTCCACGTTTGTGGGTGTCTACTCAAGGAGGTCAAAAAATTTTGACTCAAATCCTTGAGCCACACCCTAGTTGACACAGTCGCATTCAAGGACGACTTCACACAAGGTCCAGCTCCCCCGTCTCATGTCCTATACCGAAAAAAGGTTCGTGGCACGCATGACTCTCCCTGTCTGCTCACTACAGTAAAACTCTAGCATCAGATATCGAGATGACAAACACACTATACACTCCCGTCGTCAGGTTCGTATCCCGATATCACTCAAACAATGGTCACGTCCATAGACGTCGTAACTATTACTAACAGGTCAACTTGATTTCCTCATGTCGCACGTCACAACACCTCCCCAAAATGTCAACCAATACCTTGGAGTCTCGGGGTACCATCTGCGCAGGTCGTCTACTTCCCTCACTCGACTCCCGCAAGTATACGTTTGTTGTAGGGGCTCAGGTTCTCGTCGTTTTACACCGTCAGATGTTCGGCAAAGGAGCGTGAACACCTACTCGTCCGGAACAAAGATTTTCCTTAGGGTCAAAATGAAACAGTCAAAGGACTTCCTACAGTTATACCTCCAAACCTTCGTCTCAAAGGAGGTATCACTACGGATTCATAGACAATTGTCGAGTTACCCCAATACGAACACCAGTCTGTACTACGCCCTTCTTGTCTAAACCATTGGAATGTACTGAAACAGAACAGACTTAAATGTGTTGTTGGACTCCACCTTTCTACACAGTTTTCGTCGCAAGTTTCGTTCCCGTGTCTGTCACGATCGTGTTGTCATATCATTGTCATAAGTAGACGTATATCTACATATAGTCTCCGTCAGTTATAAAACTGGTTAGTAAATATTTTAACAGTTTTTCACCAGCAGGAATTCTTCAAAATTCAGACGACGACACCTCGAACCTACCTATGTAAATAAGGTGCATATCGTTATTGTGCATTAAGTACCCTTCGTGCGCACAGGAGCAAAGGTAAAAGAGACGTCCGAATGATAAGATAAAGGAAATGAGGAATTACGCGTAAATTCCCTTAACAACTTACCGAACGGAGTTAGCTAACCTAAAGATCAGTTCACTAACTCCTATCCCTTAAACCCCGACGGCTAAAATATTAAATTTTTGTACTGTAGAATGTAGGAGACTGACTAAGGAACTGGAACTACCTTTTGTATTAATTCCAGCTCCCGCAAAGACTTCCATTTTAGGTACTCCTGAACCCTTTCTGGGGCGAGAGTTTGGAGGTGGAGAGGTCATGGGGGGGGCAGGAGGTGGGTGGCTTGGACTCAGCACGCTGACACGATTCTGGCTCGGTGCTCCGTAGCCTCCGTCATTATACCTGCAAGGAGTGGGAGTTGGAAAAAGGAAAAGTTAAAATAAAATAAAAAAACTGAAACGTTGACTTTAATGAAATGTTTTATGTCAACAGGTTTCACATTACTGTATTAGGTTAGTTGAAAGCAATAATATTAAATACATATTATTTGATATTAGGTTAAACTTCATATTATTGCTTTCAACTAACCGAATACGAATCTGTTGACATAATACACTTAATGAAAGTCACGTTTTTACGGTGCTTAAGTTTCTCTGCAGCTGCATTCTCAGCTGGATGTAAAGAAACAGTAGGTTTCTCATTTGAAAGCTGATTGCAGCTGCACATGTATGTTCAGCACATGTTGGCAGGAGCGGGAGCGTGTGCAGGCTGATTGTGCAACGTGCTACTTACGCTATGTCTGCAGGTGGAGGTGGGAGGAAGTCATCAGTGCCAGGTGGAGAGAGAGGGGAGTCGGGGTCATAGGCGTAGGATCCGGTGCTCTGCTCCAAGCCCTCAGAGTTGAAGCCATCTCCAGATCCAATACTGCCATTCAGACCCTCAGAGGAATTCCTTAAAACAAATTGAAGATATCATTATCAGTCCAAAATGGTTTTCTGTCCAACTCAATCATAAATAGTAGCATGTACGGAGCAAATTTGGTCATGGGCTTTTTGCATATTTTTTCGCGACAATGATACAAATGCATTAAAAGCAGTAGACAGGAATACTGACATTGACACTTGTGGTGTGATTGACACAGCTTTGAAGTAGCAGAAAGTACAGTATCAGCAGGAGGAGGCTGGCTTGTTCTTCAGTTAAAGAGCTTGACAGAAAATCTTTGAGCTTTCTCCTTATCAGGCTTATCAAGGTTGAGAGACTAAAAGATCAAGGTTAAGCTTACTAACTACCTCAGACAAGATTAACCAGCTAAAATAAAAAAAAAGTGCTAGAACAGAAGACTAGAAAAATAATGAATAAGTGTATTGCACTATTGCTTTAATTGTTTCCATGTTATTTCCTTTTTCTTATATTTCTATAAAAGCAATACACTGACTAAAGAATTAATAACGCGGCAGAAAAACCCCTGCCCTATGGCTCGCTGTGACTCATGCGTTTGTTTACTGTGATTTGCCATTGAGACCCGACCCCCTGAGAACATTTCCAAACAGGACATGCCAGCCTTATCACTGTGTACAGATCGGTTGATAAGATGGGGGGCTTGTTGAATTTAGTTAGTGCCCATTCTGTACTTTTACTGTGTTGATTAGAGAAAGAAATACTGAATTCATCAAGTAATTGTTTTACTTCCTGCTTAAATGCTTTCAAAAGCTACGTGCACCTAGGGATAACCAATATCCACAAAGAGAGGGGGTGTCAGCTCACTTCACACAATCTCTAAACTCACATCAAATCATTCTTCGGCTCCACAAACTCCTCCCCCATCTTACGGCGCTCCCATTCGTCCTTCCTGGTCTTGATCTTTCGCGGATTGAGCGTCCGTTGGTTCAGGTGGTCTTTCTTCTCCTTCTGCTCGGAAAGAAAAGGATGGGTTAGATTCATCAACTTTCATTAGATGTGATCAATAATGTCCACCTGTTCCAACCCCAAAGAGTGCTTCAGGAATAAGTTATGTAAGGATGTTGCGCTTCTTGTAACCTTGTCTTAAAGTCTATATGGTTGTCATTTTGCTACATGCCTGAAATTAGATCTCTGATTAACACATGCTTGCGAGATGTTTTTGTTTGTTTCAAGACATATAACATGTCAGTAGGTATGCCCAATCAAGACTTGTGAAGCTTTAAAGTCTCTAAAATAAGGGGTTGCTAACAAGTGGCTACATGAGACCACAGAGGTTGACATCACACTGAACAAGGAGGGCACGCTGAAGTCATGTGACTGTGGCGTCGTTTACAGCCTGAAGAACCCACTCTTTACTGCTGGTGATTGCAGTAACGTTTCAGAAATCTTTGAAAGTGGTGTTCAATGTGAACATTTTAATGTGTGGAGGGATCAAGAAGGATTCTAACTTCCGAGTTGGTCGACAAAAACCCATCATCCCTGCAGCACTCTGTGTCCGTGGCGTTACTGGTGTTGTGCTTATGAGGATGTTACTGTGTCTCACTCTGTGCTTGCGTCTCTCCTTCATGATGTCCTTGGTGTCCTGCAGCATCTTCTCCTTCCACAGTTCAAAGAAGTAGGAGGGGTCAGTGTAAAACTTCAGGGCATCCTTCCCATCGTCCCTGTAGATAACCATTTACAAAACATTAGAACTAAACTTAGGTCTTAGTTACACTTTATGTTATCTTGCGTCCACAGGCATAAAACAAGTGTCCGCTGAAAGATATATTTATATAACACTTCCTCTTTTTAGCTCAAAAATAAAAAGGTAATTTTCTTTTCGCACATACCAATGAGTATGCAGAAAATTAAATGTCCCTATAATGTAGAGAATAAAATAATACAATTTAAACTTCACAGAACAAGTCTTTGCTACATCATTGGAAGAGCTTGCACTCACGCTACTTATTGTTGATGCCACTGCTGTGCTACCTGATTAACCAGTTTCACCATCTAACACCCAAAGCCCCTTATTTTCTGGTTTCTAATTCCGTAATTTTCGGACTATAAGGCGCACCTGAATATAAGCCGCAGCAGCTAAATTGAATGATGTGTACATATATAAGCCGCACTGGACTATAAGCCGCAGGTGTTTTAATGTTTAATTACCATATGTAAGGGTTCGTGCACAGAGGGGATTGTCGGGAAAGAGATGGCTGTTTGAGGAAGCTCCCATTTATTAACATTTCAATAAACAAGTTGCATATTTGCATAACGTATTCAAGTGTTACCATTTAGTGCAATAGTAGCTACAGAACATGTACTGTGCTGTGTAAACTGTACTGTATCACATAGCGTTTCAGACACACAAACTTTTCAACTTTCAAACTTAAACGGTGCGCTCCCAGCGCACGTACCGGCAGTGATCTACAGCAGTGGTTTTCAACCAGTGGTACGGGGACAAACTGTCTCGCTCTCGTAATGTCTGTCTGTCTTGCTCTCGTTCTGTCTCTCGTACCACTCTCGGTTCCACTTTTACTTTTGCGCGCTACCTGTTTCACTCTTTTCCGGCCTCCAGCTTTTCCTGCTGGAGCCCGCCGCTTAAAGGTGGGGGGCGCGGACCGGCCATAGAGCCCATAGAGTTAAAGGTGGTGGACTGTAACCTGTAAAATCCATAGATTTAGGAGGTCCCCTAGTGGCCGTTAGCTGTAAAAATCCATAGATTAGCCGCACCGTTATATAAGCCGCAGCGTCGAAAAATGGGAAAAAAGGCGCGGTTTATAGTCCGAAAATTACGGTAGTTTATTTGTGTTAATGTTTGACTTTGGTGAAGCAGAACTATCCCTTTTAAAATATGGGTTTACTCAGAAAA